CGTCGGGCATTTTTCTTTTTTTTTTTTCTTTTTGTTTAATCTTCCTTCATATTCACTGATGACGGATTTTGCCTCAGTTTTTCTTCGCTTGACCATTGAATATTTTGGGATTGAGAAGAGTTTTTATTTTCGTGTTCAGGGAAAGTTTTTTTTTCTTGTAAAGAGGGTACACGGGAGCATATGGAGAGAAAAAACAATTTTTATTTTCTTGATTTACGGTTTTATATGGAAGGAAGGGGAAATATCACGCTTCCCCATAATCATGGAAGAAGATAACCATCATTAAGTAGTGTGTAGTTGTTACCTTCACAAACATTAAACTTCCCTTAATTAAATAATAAATTCGTATTTATGATTAAAATTTAATGAATTAGTATTATTAATATTATTTAACAAAGTAACAGTAAAGTTTGTAATTTTCTCTTCCAAATATAACCCCTTTAGTCGAAAATCCCTTATTGCATCTCATATCATTGCATAGGAAAGAAAACAAACTTGTCTTCACCAGAAGGAAAATATTTCCTTCTGTACGTATACATAGCAGCAAGACAGACATGGACAAATCAAGAGTTGCCACTTTATTTAACTTCACAAGTTGACCAATACCTAGTAAATATATTTCTTTCCAAACCTCGCTTAAAGTATCGGTTCTTTCCATGTCTTTTAGCTAATATTTCCAAAACCTTGATTGTAGCGCCATGTTCAAATATGCGAATTTATGTGAATGTATGTAGATTATTTGGATTATATGAATTATGTGATAGTGTTATTATTGGTATTATATTTTCTTTCCGATTATTTATAATTGCTCGACTATTTATTTTTAGCCATCACATTATATTATTCTAGAATAATATAACGTTAAATTATTTCGTTCAATTTAATTTATTTAAGTCATTCGAAAAGTTCGTGTTAAAAGATTGAACCGAAATATGCTCGAAATATATTATCTCACGAACCATTTAATCCGTTTGTGTTGATCTGACACTTAACCGATTTATGTTGGAACTGAGCTTTATTATTATTATTATTTTTGTAAACCGGCCTTTATAATCGTGGACCCGTGCCTCGCCCAAGGGACCAATCTGCTCTCTTTGCCTGGATGAGAAGCTAATTATCAAAACCCTAAGCTAGCCTTATAAAGGAGAGATTATTTCTTTCTCCTCGTCAAAATAATCCCTCAGACCCTAAGTCCTCACCCTCTCTTCGTCGTTTTTAAAATCTCTCCATCTCTCTCGCTATAACGCTCGCGACTCTTATTGGGAAAAAGGAAAATCTGATCATTCCTCCATCACCATCGTGCGTTATAATTCCTTCCCCTCTTCTCTCAAGAACTGGTCGCCGCCATTCCGGATCGTCCCTACCGCTGCTCGCATTCCGCCGACCATCGTGACGATCATGCGCCCAGCACCCCGTCGTGATCGCTGCTTCCCGCCATCGTCGACGAGCCTGCTCCTTCGCCGAGACCTTGCTGTCGCGAGGCCCGCACGAAGGTCCTCCGCCTCTGCTCCATCACACAGCGCACCAAGACCGAGCAGAACTGACTGTGCGCTCCCATCGACGAATCTATTATTCATCGAGAGTCCACCGATGTATGATCACTGACCGAACGTTGCAGTTACAGGCCACCAAACGTGATTCCAGGGCCCCAGTAGATGCGCACGATCACCGGGCGAGCCAGACGTGAGTTGTCGAGCCCGCAATGCGCGTACCTTCAGCCCCGATGTTTCTCGAGAACGGTACCTAGGCTCGAACCCCGTCTCGTTTGATTTCGTGATTTGTGTTGTTATGATATAATACGTGCTTAAAAGTTGTTTATGAGTTCTATGATGGAATTTGATAAGTATGTAATAATTCAAGTGAATACCACAAGATTTTATTGTTCTATCGTGTTTAATAAGACCGAGTTGGACCTCGGACAATGTGTTTTGCAATATATCGAATGTTTAAGTATTAAAGTAGTAATATGGAGGCTTGCTTAATGTGTAATTTACGTGGTTTCGAGGCTATGTTGTTGTATGAACGTTTTGAGTTGTTAAAGGCATGAAAACCCAAATTACAAGCCTCAGTTGTGCTCTGTTTTTGTCGACCAAGAAGTTTGTTTCTTTGACAAGTGTTCTTCTTGAGTTTTTGAAAACTTTGAGTTAGGTTTCAGAGGATTTTGGAATCTTGTGATTTGGATTTGAAATGGATTTTATATGAATTTTCAAAGGCAGACAGACATGCATTTTCTATAAACTTGGCCAGAGATTGTGACCTTAATTCATGGCTATTTTTGATGATGTTAACGTGTCTCTA